AGTACTACTTATTTCGTAGCCTCACAAAATTTAAGGCTGGTTTTCACTATGTCATAATATGACAACAATCTTTGTCAACATATTTTTGACACAACTTCATCTCCTAATCCCATACCTTTACCGATTATAAGCCAGTTGAGCAGCACATGTACACGACTGAAGACCTGTTCTGATCTAAATCAATCGATAAACCGTTTCTTAGTTTCATTTGACAATGTGTTTTCACTTATTTGACGACAAATGCCACTGAATATGACATAGTGAGAACCAGGCATTAGACTGCTTAAGAAAAAGTTTTGATTTCATCTCACTCGTGCAACTCGAGGGTACCCTTCCTATCAAACTTCTCCTCAACGCGATTCGCTGTTATATTAATATGGACTGATACCCAAATGAGTCGGACCGGGGAAAGTTCCCTAGCCAAAGTTGGGTATCATGACAGCATTTGTAATTGTTTTTCATTCCATATTTAGTAATAAAAATCGCATAAAGCATTTTAACGCTATTTAAATTTGCAGTTAATATTTTGAGCAAAAGTGAAAAGCTAAGAAAACCTACATTGTTTTAAGAAAAAGCTAAAGCCTAAACATGCTGAAAGCGCTAAATCTAGCCGGACATATCTAAAATGGCAACACTGCGTATGAATAACATTTTTCATGTTGAAGTTCGAATATCTCTGCATTCGCCAAACAAACTTAAAATGAAAATATTTTGGGAAAATTACCTGATCTACATACAATAGATACGACTCAGAATTAAGTTAACGTGTCTCAGCGTAATGTTAAAAAAAAACCTAAATTTTTAAGAACTCTCTAATTTTTTGAGGGGTACAGTTTTTTGAACGAAAATATAGTTTATTTTCCAGAACTTTACAGTTTTTTGAAAACCAAATCTGGCAACACGGTTTTCAAGTTACCAATACATCCAGGGATGGAATCCCAAAGGAGATGAGAGTGCCGCAAAATTGAAATTGCTTTCTTTTAAGGCTTTTTAAGAACAACATATCGTCACTAGACAGGAATAAAGGCGCGAGCTCAAAAGTTTACCGCGAAAAAAGACGCATACAAAAAAAAAAAATCAGCGAAGAAAGACTCATAACACAGTTGACGGTGAAGAAAGACGCGTTAAAACATTTGACGGCGAAGAAACACCCGTAAACTTATTTTCGCGGTCGACTAAGTTTGCGCGTGTAACAGTATTTAAATTCCCCAAAGAGTACTTTAACGAATGATGCTGAAGTGGCAGTCCTTGGCCAGGTATAAATCTATGTTTACGCGTCTTTCTTCGCCATAAACTAAATTTCGCGCCTTTCTTCGCCGAAGTTTTCCCTAAGCGTCTTTTTTTGTAAAATTTTTTTTTGCGAGTCTTTTTTCGCGGTCAAAACACTAGCGCGCCTTTATTCGTGTGTAGTGGCGATGTGTATTTTTATAAATAGTATTTTTAATGTAGTTCATTGAATTATTAGAGTAAAATCATAGTAAAATAACACAATATACAAGCTTAAGACTTCGGTTTGTACTTGTCTTTGAAATAAATTTAAAAAAAAAAAACACAATATTCCAATTACGAAGGGGGAAAACACTGAAATATACCTAGTCGGATCTGTTTACACATATATATACCTATGTACGAAATAATGGCAGTGCGAAATTTTGATCAGTTTTGACTATTCTTTTTTACATTGAAATTATTTTTATTAATTTTATATAGTGGGCCTTATTAACTGACTTCACAAAAAAAAAGGTTATCAATTCGACGGAATATTTTTTTATGTATGTTACCGCATATCTTTGGATCACGTTAACCGATTTCTATAATTCAAATTTTTTTAAAGGAAAGGTGTTATCTCACAGGTGGTCCCATACGAATTTGGTTTACATCCGATCATTGGATCATGAATAAATTAATGATAATCTTAAATTTTTATATGAGAATTGAAGTTGGCTTTGTTTTTTGATCTAAACTTACTTGTTCTAATTTTTAAGTGATTTTAAATTTCATTTGTCGAGTCTATCACTAATGTATGATTGTTTGTTATATACCGGCTAAATTTCTATAATTTATGATTTTGCCAAAACTGAATGAATTCGGCCAAAAGTGACCTTGTGAATGAAAGTGCCAAAAATGGCACTACTGTGTTTCCATTACTGAATACATTTAAGTGATTATTTTAAGGCTTATATCAAATACAACCGGCTAGACTATTGGCACAACAGGGGCGTCCTTAAAATTTAATAACAATAAAATATGTTTAAATAAATGTACCTTAAAACATGCATCATTTTTTTATAGTTTTCAGTTTAGATTTGCTATTTAAGACATTCTTGCAAAATACTTGTATTCACCCATTAGCGCAGCCAAGCAAATACACCGAGAAAAATTCAACCAAAAGTTGGTTAATATTACCAAATTCAAACTAGAAAAGTAACCAAAGTGATTTTTTTATACCCGAGCGCACTTGTGCACAAGACAAATGTATACATAAATGATCAGAATGAAAAGAGCAATCGATTGAGCGGTGACTGTCTCTCCGTCCGTCCGTCCGTTCGTCTGCGCACATGATTACTCGAATAAAAATTGAGATATCTTAACAAAATGGGAGCGCGTACTTCTTTCGGACGTAGAACGGGTGGTGTTGATAATGGGCAAAATCGTACAATAACCATGCCTACCTCCCATATAACGGTAGTTTTGGGAAATACGAAATCTGCGATATTTTAGTAACTACTGAAGATTATTTACTCAAAATAAATATTTACAAACATTTTTCGACGAAAAATAGGAATATTGCAAATATTTGCAAAATGGGCGTAGCNATCGACCTATCTCGGCAGAAAGTTCGGAAACGCCCTATATCAGAAAACTTTGCAAGAACACCCTACTTCAGAATTTGATTGAAGAACGGCCTATCTCAGAATTCGGTTCAAAAATGCCCTATCTCAAATTAAAATGTATTAAAAATATGCTGAGATAGGGCATTTTGAACCGAATTCTGGGATAGGGCGTTCTTGAATCAAATGTTGAAATATGGCGTTTCTGATATAGGGCGTTTTCGAACTGGCTGCTGAGATGCGTCGATCTTCAACTCAGGTGTCGATATCTAGTCATGAAATTTATTTGAGCAATATTTTTCCCTGTATTGAGCATTGAGTGTTATAAGTTCTTTTCTATTTATTTTATTTTACACATTTATGAATGTTTTTGTAAAAATGCCTGGTTTTCTGACACAAAGTTACATTATTTCTAACGTCAATCTTACAGCCCTGAGTATACTAAAGTTTGGAATACTCCTCCATCGTTGTAATTATAGCTCTAGAAGAGTTCCTTTCAAGAATTAGGACTTGCTAATAAATACCACCGGTAACATTGTATCTTTTAATTTGAATACAGTTCATTAAAAAATGTTTCTAAGACTTCTAAACCACTTTTTAAATTCCGATTCCAAGTGCTACATATTCTCCCACTTTGGTCAGTACCGCTAGGCATTTCCAGTGACGACTTCAAGCGTCTCCAGTGGACGTGTACATAGACCAAGCGGTAAAGTTTTCCCTGAGTAACACTATGACGTTAATGGGTGGTTGGTTGGTCGTAGGGCGCCCTAATGGCTGTCTTAGATGCAATTAGCGCATTTTTGCGCCATTTTGATGCACTTCTCGTGGTAGATGTTTTAGCTATGTATGTCACTCCTATGTTACTTGGCCGAACCATCTTGATTTCTTGATTTCACTTTGCTTGTGGTAGTTCCTGATATATTGCCTCAATCTCCGTATTCAATATTTTAGATAGGTATTTAAAAGAAGGTTTTCTTCGAACTTATAAAAGCCTTTTGTATGTATTTGTATGACACTAGGAAATACCTGACGTGCTTCACTGCGCCTTATAAGTATTTATGCGCTGTTTGATACCCATATTGTAATATTTCATTTATATTATGACAATTTATTTTAATAAAATTTTTCAAACAGGTGGAAACCCTTCTCAAAAATATTTCGGCAGTAAGCTTTCCTAAACCTCTTCAGTTTGATATCCATATAGCAATATTCAATTTATCTTATCAGTTAAATTGAATTGAAATTTTCAAACGGGTGGCAACCTTACACAAAATATTTTCATCTGTAAGCCTTCTTTAACCTGTTTGTTTTGGCAGCCATACTACAATATTTACTTTATCCTATCAATTTACTTAAACTGAACTTTTCGAACAGGTGGCAACTCGCAAATTATTATTTTTTCTATATTTTAAGTTACACCTCTTGCAATACAGCGGGGAAAACTGCATTGAATTCCATGCATTCGTTTTCGAGTGATGCAACGTACAAACATACAAACCAGACAAAAACTCTAAAATTTGTTGAATTGGCTTTTGTTGCTTTAATAAAGAACCCGCATATTAATTTTTCTTTAAAACCTATAGTTCACAGACATCGGCCTGCTACAATTTTATTATATGTATAGTTTAAGCTTTAAAGCTAACTTCAATGGACATTCTTACAAGTTTTTAATTGCTCAAACTCATAGGCAGCCCACCCACTGTGCCTCGTTTCTATGTACCTATTCAAAACTGGCTATCACTAAAAGTAAGAAAAATCGTTGCTTAAACGTTTCAGATCTCATGCACTTTGTGCAGACTGTGAGCCAAATTTCGAAACAAAGACAAAAAGCTCACAAGATACACAAATCACCTAAGAGCTGTGATGGCAAATGTTCACTCTAAACCCTAAAGCAACGAACGGTAGTTATGCAATAGTGTTGAGATATGTATATGTACTTCCACATATACACACGCACAAGCTTGTCTAGGTAGCTGTTAGTTGCACTTGCAGCCAGGCAGAAACATTCATCTTCGAGCAACGCAGTACAGCGCCACATTTTAGGCAACGCCAAATTTTCAAATTTCAATTTCTTTCTTTGCTTTCACTTATTTACATAGCTCCTACTAATTTGTTGTTTGTTTTTGTTTTTTTTTTCTTTTACCTACGTCGTCCACAACCAATACACAGAATCTAAAGCATCCAAATCTGGTCTCACTACTGGAGGTATTCCGGCGTAAACGACGTTTACATTTGGTATTTGAATTCTGTGAGCTGACAGTGTTGCACGAATTGGAGCGACATCCGCAAGGCTGTCCGGAGCATTTAACCAAACAGATCGTCTACCAGACATTGCAGGGGGTGGCCTATTGCCACAAACAGGGTTGCCTGCATCGTGATATCAAACCGGAGAATATACTGTTGACAGCGCAGGGACAAGTGAAGCTGTGCGATTTTGGTTTTGCGCGCATGTTGAGTGAGTAACTATTTATACGTACATGAAATATAGTAGTGTGCACAAAGGAAAGCATAGATTTAAGCTAACGAGCATTGAAAGTGCCAAAAGAAAGCTAAGAGTGGTGACAAAAAAAAAACATCGAAATTCCCAAATTGCAAAGCAGCACATCCCCTTGTTATTTGGTGTATATTACATTTAGCGTCCTTTGCTGCTTGCTTAGCATACACCTCGTTCTTCAAGAATCTTCATGATTTTTTTTAGCAACATTTCTCTCATACATTTTTGTAACTGACACTTATTTTTCTTCTTTTTTTTCTACGTTACCAGCAGGTCCTGGTGAGAATTACACAGACTACGTGGCCACCCGTTGGTATCGGGCGCCCGAGCTACTTGTCGGCGACACGCAATACGGCACCGCAGTGGATGTGTGGGCGATTGGCTGCTTATTTGCGGAGTTGGTGCGCGGCGAGGCGTTATGGCCCGGTCGCAGCGATGTAGATCAACTTTATTTGATACGCAAAACGTTAGGCGACCTGCTGCCAAGGCACATACAGATTTTCTCACAAAATGAATATTTCAAGGTAAGTGCGGGGGTAGAGCAAATTACCCATAAATATTTAGAACAAGTGATTGTACAATAAGAATATGGATCTTTAAAAACATAAGTACATAGAAGGGGCAGCCGTCATTCCAAGTGGCCACGACCTGGGCGTAGGCCAAATAGTATTAATACTATTAAGAAGGAGCTCAAAAAGCAGAAAAAAGTCAATGAAGGATCTTAACTAGCACAGCTGTGTAGCACAGCGAAAGGTATAGCGTGCGTACACAGAGAATCCGACCGGTGTACAGTGTTTTATTTTGCGAAAAAAAGGGACGAATTCAAATATTTGCTATTGAGTCAAGAAAACCATTTCCATTCATTTAAATACTTACTTTTAAAGGTAATTCTAAATATCTGATTAAATTCCAAATTACCCTCCCTCCAAATCCAACCTTCAAATGAAAAACTTTGGAATTTTTTTCTTTTTTTACCTAAAAACAACATGCGACGAAGCTTAGCACCGTTTCTGTATGTACGCACTTTAAGAGTATACTGGAGAATATAGCGCTCATTTACATTAACAGTGTCATAACTCAAAAAAGAAGCCGATTCAAAAACGCCTTATCTCAGAAAAGTTTTCAAGAACGCCCTATTTCAGAATTTGGTTCAAAAACTCTCTCTATAACTCAGTATTTCGCCTCAATGTTTGCTCGCCCGCTTCCATGCAACTCAAAATATATTCATACAGATATATAAAAGAGCGTTGTGACTCTTTTTCTCATCAAACCTTCGTCACTAACTAGATTTTATCGTTATATTATCTTTAGAGCAGCAGGAAGAACTCATTTTTTGTATGCTCTAAATTTGATGCATTATTTTCTCTAGACGTCAGATTCTGTATTAAATAAATACATAATGAAAATAAATGTGATGCCATCAGTACTCAAAAACACGTTTACAAATACTCCTTACGCAAATTCGTGAGAGAGCCAAACATGTAACAAGTTTATAGTGAAGAGAATGTAAATAACGCTAGCGCTCTGAGTTTTTGAAATTGGAGTGCTCTCATAAAAACTTGCAAGTCTGTAATCAAATATGGTAGAAATGTATCAGCAGAGTGTCCATCGGGACCAGTAAACCTTCGAAAGTGGTCTACCAGAAAAAAAAAGTGTGCGAACCTCTGATCTATATTGACGAGGTGTGTGTGCTGATAACTGGTACCTGGTTCCTACCTACCTACTAGCGGCCGCTGTAGTGTAGTGATTAGAAGTGCGCGAATTCAGCCCAGTTTCTGACTAACATCAAAAACAAAATAAATGAAAAAGTTTCTGTAATTGCGGTCACCGCTCGGTAGGCAATAGCAAATCCCAGAGTGCACTGCTGAAATGAAAAGCAGCTTCTCATAAAAATGTAATTGAAATTATTTAAAATGTTAACTCAATTATAACGAAATGGGTATCAATCGAAATGGGTTTGAAAAGCTTTGTTCCTTATATTAACTGTAGTAGGGTTGCCACCTATTTAAAAAATTAAATTCAATTTGAATTTAAGGACTTTTGTAATAGAAATATGTATCACTATATGCCCGCCAGAAGAAAAGACTTAAAGAAGGTAGTAGTTTGTTAATATTTTGTAGAGGTTTGCCACATGTTTAAAAAGTTGAATTTAGTTAACCTATTCACAATTAAATATTAAACTATGTCAAACGAAAGAGTATTAAGAAATCTTTAGTTTGAACACTAATAATATTTTGGAGTGTTGCCACATGTTTTAAAAGGCAAAATCCACTAAACTCATCAGTTAACTAAAATATGTATCACAATAAGGGGTTTCACAAGACGTATTAACCGTCGTAAAATCTTTAGCATAACATTTTCTTATGTAAATTAATGATTAAAATGGTTTTTATAGGATTTCTAGCAACACCGATATGTTTTTAAACTGATAAAAAAAATTAATGAGCCCCTCTTTGAGGATTTTAACCGTTCTTTTACATGAAAGTGTTAAGCTTAAGATGTTACGACGGTTAACATGCCTTGTGAATCCCCCAAATGTCCGAAGAAAAATACTCAAGAAGGTTTTAGCCCGAAACTACTTTTGAGGAGGGTTGCCACCTGTTTAAAAATTCGAATTTAATTAATTTAAATACAACATATATGAAATACTAAATAAGGGTGTCAAACGAAGGAGTTTTAAGAAATCTTTAGTTTGAACATTTATAATATTTGAAGAGGGTTGCCACGTGCTTAAAAAGTTGCATTCAAATTATTTAATAATTTGTTTGAAAGGCTCCGTTTCTGACATTCATGTATTTAGGCGGATTGCCACGGGTTTGAAACTTTAAGTTCATCCAAATTCATCAGTTAATTGAAATATGTATCGCAATGTTAGACGAAAGAGATTTAAGAAGATTTTAGTTTGAAAATACTTTTGAAAAATGCATATGAAAAGTCGAATTTAGTGCACAAGTTTTATGATCAAGTTTTATGAAATAATAAGATATGGATGTCAATTGAAAAAATTTATGAAAACTTTAGTTTAAAAATATCTTTGCTTAGGCTGGCCACCTATTAGAAAAGTCATGTCGGTCTAACTAAGTATATGGGACGTTCCATACTAAAATGGACGGGGTTCACACTTCATGTGTTTGATTTATTTCAAATTTTTAGGGTTGACAGATAAACATAAATAATAAACAAATATGAAATTTGAGCTTCATTAATAAATTTTTAAAAACTTTACAGTACAAAAACAAAAACAACCCGATTTGATAGTTTTCCTAATATCTTAAGAACGGGACGAGGAAAAAAAAATTTTGAAAATTTTTTCAATTAAAAATTTTTTCACATAAAAATTTTTTGATAAACAAATTTAGTTTTTTAAAATATGCCATCTCAAAAAAAAAAATTTTTTTTTAAATNGACGGGGTTCACACTTCATGTGTTTGATTTATTTCAAATTTTTAGGGTTGGCAGATAAACATAAATAATAAATAAATATGAAATTTGAGCTTCATTAATAAATTTTTAAAAACTTTACAGTACAAAAACAAAAACAACCCGATTTGATAGTTTTCCAAATATCTTAAGAACGGGACGAGGAAAAAAAAATTTTGAAAATTTTTTCAATTAAAAATTTTTTCACATAAAAAATTTTTTGATAAACAAATTTAGTCTTTTAAAATATGCCATCTCAAAAAAAAAAATTTTTTAAAACTAAATGGTAGCTCTGATTATTGCGCAATATTTAAGTATAGTATTACGGGGTGCACTCTACAAGTATTTGAGTTATGAATTTTTTTTAAACCCAGGTTGAGTAAAATGAGCACAATACAAATTTACAATTTTTTTTTTTGAGTATGCAGTTTTCTAGCCCATTAAATTTTAGTACAATAAAGTACAAGTTTTAAGCTACTGCAAAATTGCATAGATTTTTAATATTATTTATGCTGTCGGCTTTTTGCTCCTTTTTCTTATGGAAGAAAATGCGCCAACCCGTTGCAAGGAAAAAAAAAACAAAAAAATAACGCCAGTTTTGCAATCGCTTATAGCCATCNTCCTTTTTCTTATGGAAGAAAATGCGCCAACCCGTTGCAAGGAAAAAAAATAAAAAAATAACGCCAGTTTTGCAATCGCTTATAGCCTTGACTAACCTTTGGAATACTTTGTATGACTTTGAAATTAAATTTTGGCCGTTTTAACGCCATGCGGATTCACTAGCTGTTTTTATTATTTTATCTACCTCATTATTACATTTCTGTTCAATAAAACCGTTTAACTTAAAATTTTTTCACTTTATTTCATTTACTATAAATTTCTAGTATTTTATTCCCAACAGTTTCGATCAAATATAAATTTTCAATTTACTTTTACACTTAGGGCATCACTCTGCCGGTGCCGCCAACGCTGGAACCGCTCGAAGACAAAATGCCAGCTAAATCACTACAAAATCCGCTCACTATTGACTTTCTCAAGGTGAGTAAACACACAAATGTGCATACAGTAAAGCACGCACTTTCCGCAGAAAGTAGTTGTATTACGAGTTGTAGTAGAAGCAGTTGAAACAAAACAAAAAGCGAAACTCAGTTAACCAACAATTTCGCTGGTCTGGCTTTGACATTTTTTTTTTTTTTTTTCTGTTTGAGCAGAAATGCCTGGACAAGGATCCTGCCAAGCGTTGGTCTTGCGAAAAGCTCATCAAACACTCATACTTCGATGATTACGTTGCCAAACAGCGTGAACTGGAGCATGTTAATAGCCTAGAGGCAGCCGCACTTCAACGTCAGCAGCAATTTGTACAGCAACAGCAACAGTTGCAACAACATTTGATGCTGCAGCCGCATAGTCAACAATTGCAACCACAATCACAACAACATACGCCGCTGCAG